TAAAAAAATTTAATATAACTTTTTTATAATATAAGTTAATACTCAATAATCCCATCAATTATTTACTAAAAGAGCCGACCAAAAAAATTTATTTACTAAAAGGATTGATGATTAGACAAATTAAAATAGTTAGTAGTAAAATTTAGAATAGGAAATAATTAATTGCACGGGTAATTTGCCAGACTGTTGTTGACAATGGTGTCAAGATGTAGTCGGAACAAAACAAGGTGAGAATTTATTAAAAAAGTTTGCCTTTATTGAACAGAAATAGTTTATGGGGTTGAATTGTTGAAAAGGTGATACAGACAGAACGGAGATACACTAACATGGAGGGTGCTCGCTAAAATGCATACAATTATTTAGGACCAATTGATGACTCGGAAGCTCTGCTTGGCAATTATTAATTGAAACCGGCCTGCACCCATATATATATATATATATATGTATGTATAATAGAAATTAATTATCAACGATGAGTTGGATCAAGTGGCAATCGGCTTGTTCCAGCTTAAGTAAGGTCTTGAGTTTGAAACTTTGTGTACGCAACAGTTTTTGTTGGCAGATCCACCCACTATTCTGGTGCACCACAGCTGGTCGAATCCGGAGTAGTCGGGTAGTCGAGGCGAAGCCCCAAATACTGGGCGGGAAACCAAAAAAAAATAATAGAAATTAATTTACATATAGTTGACAAGTTAAGTAATTTAATGATAATATTTTTTTATTGAAAATAAAAGATTTTAAATTTAAATTGTATGACATGTGAGTGAGATTAAATAAAGAATTGAAGAATATTACTCTTCGTTGTGCAATCAACAGAAAAAAAAAAATCATTTACATATAAATTTTATACATTATAATTATTGAAATCTCAATTATTTATTTCTTTTTATTTTTAATGGTTAAGATTTTATTCATATTTATTAAATATAATCATTTTTTATTTAAAAAATATGATAAATCATGATAATTAAAAATGAGATAATAAATAATAAAAATTTTATATAAATATAAAATATAAGACTTATATGTAAATAAATATTTCTTTCTGTGTATATATATATATATATAACCTGTTATTGGATCTTGGCAGGAGCTGGAGGAGTGTTCCGAGATCACTTGGGAAATTGAATCTTGGGATTTGCTCGTAACATTGGTCACACTACTAGCATTGCGGCTGTGTTATGGGCCATTTGTCACGGTCTTAAACTTGCTGTTTCTAGGGGATATAATAGCCTTATCTTAGAGACTGATTCACGTACTGCTGTTACTCTTTTGCATGCTGAAAATTGTAATTTCCACTCACTTGCTGTGCTTATATCTGACTGCAGGGTTCTCCTACGCCAGCTCCATGATGTGCAGATCACTCACATCTACCGTGAAGCTAACTCGGTTGCAGACTGCTTAGCCAAAATGGGCACTAGATTAAATAATCCCTTTGCTGTTTTTGAACATTGTAATATGAATGTTGCTTTTTTTTTGGTTTCCCATCCGGTATCCGGGGCTTTGCCCCGACTACTCCGGACTCGACCAGCTGTGGCGCACCAGAATGGTGGGTGGGTCTCCCAACGAAAGCTGCTGCGTATACAAGGTTTCGAACTCAAGACCTTGTTTAAGCTGAAACAAACCGCTTGTCACTTGATCCAACCCCTCGTTGGTGTAATATGAATGTTGCTATGTTGTTGCTCTCTGACACTATTGGGAACTCAGTTCCCAGGGATGTAACTATTATCTAATCTATATATTCTCGTTTTCTACCATATATATATATATATATATATAACTTGTTATTTGTCTTTGTCTTAATTTTTTGATCCAAATTAAGTTGTGTGTGTTCATGCATTTGTATCTTGGAAATCTACTTAATTGGTTTTGTGTTTATGTTTATTTTTTAAAATTTAACATTATTTGCGTAGTTACTTTAGAGCAATAACAGACAAAAAAAAAGAAAAAGGTTGAGGATGAATGGGCAATGCAATAGAAATAACCTTTACTTTAAAATTTCAAATTTCGAACTATGTGCTTGTTTGGTGCAATTTGTTGGAGTTTTAATTTTTTTAGTACTGTTTATGAGGTATAAATTTAAATTTTTATTAAAAAAAATTTAAAAATTGTTTTTAGAAATAATAAAAAGTTAGTAAGAAGTGAGTGAAAATGAAATTTATAAAAAACAAAAATTTGAATCTTTTCAAAATATACTTTTTAAAATTAAAAAGAAATTAAAAAATATAAATTAAAAAAATTAACTTATGAAACATAAATAATATAAAAAAATTAAAACACTTACAAATTTTACCAAACATGTATATATTACAAATCAAGAGATTACTTACTGGAGGCAACCTGCAAATGTTTTGGGTCCCTTTCTTTCTTTCTTCTTCTTCTATTTTTTTTTTAAGGGTACATATTAAGAATATATCTATTATATTAATAATCTAAACAATTTACCTGTAATTTTTTTTATTAAAAATATGAGACTTTGAGTTTAAATTGTACTGTATGCAGGTATAATGAGTTAAGTAATGAAAAAAAATTGTCTTTTGCTGTACAATTTAAGATAAAAAATATATTTATTATATCTTTTTATTATGAATTTGTATAAAAAAATAATTTACTTTAATTTTATCAATTACTTAGTTAAAATAATTCATGTGACATTATTATTGAAAATTAAGTTTGTTTTTGTAATTTTTTTATAACATAAATTAATAATAAAAAATGACTTAATTCAATAATTG